GGGGGGGGGGGGGGGGGGGCTGCGTTCATTCCTGGTGTATCCCGCGAGGCACGCAATGCGTCCAATTTGGCATGTACTCTAAATATCCTCTCGACATGATGCGACACTCAGCTTCTAACTCATACCCGACTGGTTGTTTTTTGTGCGTTTCGTTCCAAACCAAGGCGGACATCAACGTCGATGCTCAGATCCTCACACTGGGGAATGGATTAGATCAAGGAGGCATTGCGGCAGCAGGGGCGAGCGGGAGCGCGGCGGCGGGAGAGAGCAGTAGCGGGGTCACGTCGGTGGCAATGCAGGACGGGTGCATATGCTGCACTCTCAAAGACGAACTCTTGCTCGAGGTATCCATTTTGTGCTGCTTGGGATTTTGTGCCCCAGAGATGGGTGGACATCATTTGGTGTGCCGTGGCCAACTTCTCCCTACTTACAGGGGACGGGCAGAGAGCAGTCCCTTGCTCAGGACTCTATTGCAGATTTTTCTCTCGGTAGGGTTCTGTCTTGGGTGTACATTCCTCCTGCGTCCTACGCGAGAACTCTCAGCGACACCCTTCAACAGGATGCTAGCGCTCTCTGATGCTGACACCCGCGCTTCTCCCTTCCGCGCTATTGTTCCCGGTATTCATCGGGGGGAAAGGTGGGGGCCATGGCCAAAGAGGGCAAGTACGATCACCTCATCATCGAATCAACCGGGATCTCAGACCCGGCGCCAGTGGCAGAGGCTCTCGTCGAGAGCGACTGCAGCACCAACGACATCGGTTACTTTTTCAACGGCGAAGACGACGACGACGACGACGACGAGAGCACCGGGAGCGCGGCCCCTCTCGAAAGAGGTGCAGTCAATAGTACACGAAGGACCATGTGCTCTGGTCAATTATTTACTTTGGACGCGCGGGTTAGCCCATTTCGGGAGGGAAACCCTCTGCTCCTCGTTTGTTGTGTGAGGAAACGGCAATCCGCCGTGTGGGTGTGGTGGCATAGCCCCGGAGGGTACGCCAACGAAACGCAACGCTAAGCATCTGAAAACGAACCCTTTTGATGCCAAGCAAAGCGATCCTGCTCTTCGCGACGACGCCTCTGCGGCCGCCCCTGGCGCTCGTCGTTCGTCTCGTACCTGGTGTCCTTCGCGCTTCTTTCCTTTCCTCAGGAGAATCGGAGGCAGTGGGCGAGGGAGGAGGAGAAGGTGGGATGTATTCCCTCGACACCCTGGTCACAGTGGTGGACTCGACGTCCTTCCTGGAAGAAGTGCGGAAGGCGGACGACCTGGAGGAGAGGGGGCTGGAGTCCGGGGAGGGAGACACGAGAACCGTCGCTGACCTGCTAATGTCTCAGGCGAGTGCTCGTGCTGCCCCACCCGCAGAAAGCACTTGCGTTTTTCACTTGCGGCTTTTGAAAGCGGTGCTCCCAGCGTGGTTCCAGCGCAGGGGATCACCACGATCTCGTACATGCTTGCAGTATTACCACGGTTCGCAGTTACACCGGCGGGTGAGGTACGGCAGGGGGCACGTCATCGTTGCGGAACGTCTGTGGCAGATACGGTGTGACACGCCCTGGACTGCTGTTCAAAGCCCGTTTGCTCCACGGCAGAACCAGTACCTAAACACGGTGACATTTGAGCAGTCTCATCGAGCGCTTTCCGAATTCACATCGTTTGGTTTTGGCATCCTCGTTGTCCGAGAGTAGTCGAGCTTTGAAAAATGGTCCCATGGGGTGTGACATCTTGCGTAACCTGCGACACACACGCGACAGCGCTGTTTGATCGCGCTGTTGTGTTTGTGTCCACGCCCTCGCAGAAGTTTCACCAGGGTCCTACATGATATATGCCAAGTATCTGAGGAAGCTTCACTGCAAGTTGAAGGAGGCAGTTCTGCACCCGAGCTGTTCTCTGCACATACTCAACAGAAAAGATTTATTCCCACGACGCAAGCCTCAGCCTGCCCTACCTTGCCCGCTGCGGTCACGCGTGCAGAAATTCTCTTGCTTTTTGCTCAAAGTCACAAAAAAAACGTCTCTCAGGACCGATACTCGCTCCATGCGTCTGCCCTTCCCTCCTCTCCATTCCAAGGTCTTGCTCTCCTTGCAGGAGACCACAAGTTGACTCGTCGTTCCGTGTGCTCCTCGTTTGGCCATCGTGCTCAATCAACTGGCCAAGCTGCTCGCCTCGCTCTGTCTTTCGCTTTGTCCTTTCACGCTATCCTACCCTGACGTCGCTGTTTCCTGTAGTCGGCTGCCTCCCACGCGCTCGCTGGTGCGGCAGTTTCGTGCTCCCTACATGAACCTGACAATAAGAACTTCTGCGCGCCTTGTTTTGTCCTCTGGTAGGTGGAGTTCGCGAACGTGATCCTCCTCAACAAGTCCGACCTCGCAACGGAGGAGGACATGGCCGCCCTCGAGGGGCTCGTGCGGCGATTAAACCCGACCGCGCGCGTGGAGCGAACCGTGAGCTCCGCCGTAGGCCTCACGGAGGTGCTGGGCACGGGGGAGTTCGACCTGGAAGAGGCGTCGAAGGCCGCCGGCTGGTTGCGGGTATGTGGTTGCGGCGCGAGACCAGCTGGCGGGATGCTTGCTACCCTCCCGGGCTGATTCATTTCCATCCCCCCCATCTTTCTCCCCCCCCGCTCATCGGGGTTGGGTTTTCGTCGCTTGGCAACGACGTTAAAAAAACAAGCCATTTCACTTTGTGAACTCGGCAACCAGGTTACCGATTTTTTTTACCTCTGTTTTTTTTTGCGGTAACCATAATGGTGGTCGAGTAGATCATGTTGTGCGGGGTGGAGAACCCTCACTCCGCGCAAGGGGGATGATCGCACCACGTTGTGTTCAGATGGTCAAGCACCCTCGAGGCAGTTACACAGTGTTTACAAGTGTCTCTGGAAGTGAAGCACCAGAAAATAAATTAAGTACGCAGCTGTCATCCTTATGCAACAGTAAGCACAAGATGCTAAACACCCTTAGCAGGATGCAGCGCACCCTCTATGCGACTCGCCGAATACCTCACGGCGCTTCGCGCTTGGTGATGTGAGAGCCTGGTCCGGTGAGAACCCGGCGTGCTCCGTCCCGGCTTTGAAGGGATGCGAGGTCAATGGTCTAACGACTACGGCATGCACGACTATGAGTACACCCCCCCATCTTTCCTCTGCGTGGATTTTTGTTGCGTGAAGCTCCTATGTCGGAGAATTCGGTTGTGTGTGTGTTTCCGTGTGTCCCGCTGTTGTTTGTGTTTTGTGCCCCGGCATCGTGTTCGTTTCTCCAGCGTACGCTCTGTGAGATTCCCATTCGTCGAGCCTCGACCTCCGACAACACAGCTGACCAATGAACGGGAAGGCGAAAACGCGGACACGCGGCCTAGTCATAGGGCCTCCCGGGGGAGGGGCGAAGTTGGACGAGAGGGTTCTCTGGATTCGAAATTCGTTCGAACGGATAACACACATCACGCCTACGTAGGATTCCCTGCTGCTTTGTCTGCGTTGTTGTCGCCCGTGCTAGCCTCATATACCCCGGTGGTGAGTTACTCTTTAACTTCAGCAACTGTCTGGAATTCTCTCGGTTACCATTGATTGCCGTGAGGATGTATTCCGTGTATGTATTGTGTGTGTGACTTGAAGCGGGGGTCGGCCGCACACTAACTGGCTGGCCAACGAATGTACGTCAGTCCCGGTGAGGGGGAAAGCAAGGTTGTACATCAAGTATACCCTATCCGGCTGAGCAATTAGAAGACGCCAGTCAGCGCGGCTAACAATGGAGAACGCTCAGATAACTCATGTTACTGAGACCCGTGAGTGTGTGTGTTGAGTTTTTCTGAATGCCTCCTTCTTGCGAGGCGTTCGCCCTCCTGGCGAGGCGTGTATGCCTGGAAGCTTTGAGTGTGAGTGTCCTCCGACGAGCCTCAAAAGGAGCTTTGGAGCAAAGAGTTGTTCCCGCAGCAGTGACACACGCACACAAGTGTCGGTGTGGTTCATGGTCGAATGAGTGGCCACAAACTGTCGCGATCAACCCGCTCCTCGCCCCCATCCTCGTCGATTTTGCTGCGCTCGCTCCCCGCCTTTCATGCCGGAGGAAAGGGGCTCAGTGACGACGACGAAGATCACCCTCACTCTCACTACGGTATCGAAAGCTTCACCTTTCGATCGCGAAGACCATTCCATCCCGAACGTCTGATGGGATTCGTCATGGAGCACCTGCCTTCCGTCTTGCGCTCCAAGGTCGGTACTCGTAACGCAGGTGCTAAGCGGGGAGGGAGGCGCGGTCGCGGAACCATTTTTTTTTTCGTGAATGAGTGCACGATGGCGTAGACAACAACCCTGCAGCCGTGTCCATAAGCCTTAGCGCCGGTGTCTCCCTCGTGCCTGACCTGCAGGACAAGAAATTGAATTGAATTCTAGCGTGGTAGTACTGGAGGGCCTGAGCGTGAGGAATCACCTTTGCTTCGGCAATGCCTTTGGCAGCCCACCCCGTTAGCGAGCCGCAGCTTGTGTTTTCAGGAGACCCCTGCCGTGCTCCCATGTTCGTGCCCTCCTTATACTTATATCAAGTAAAAAGAGTCGATACGGGTCGGCGCCTCCCGGTCACATCAATATTTGCTGAGCCTCTTGCCTTTCAACTACCAGATCACCCCCCCTCTACGCATGGCGTATTTTCACAACCGTGTTCGGATGCTGTCTGTACCCCTGGCCGATTAAATTAAATCGTTCTGCGCTCTCCAGGGGTTCTTGTGGCTCGCCACGCGGGAAGATTCCTTGGGCGTTTGGAACCAGGCGGGGGGCTCGTTCGCGACTGAGTACGGCGGCTTGTGGGACGACTTCCATGACGCGGACGAACAAGAACGAGAGCGGCAAGGGCAGGGAAGCGGGGAGCACGGCGCCGCCACGGCAGCGACCGTCGACGATGACGGCGTCGAAGGCGGCAGCGCCAGGCGCAACGAGCTCGTGTTCATCGGTCTCGGAATGGACGAGAAAGTCCTGAGAGGAGAGCTGCAACGGTGCCTGTTGTCAGAGGAGGAGATGGCCCTTGGGTCCCAGGAATGGGAGAGGCGGTTTTCGGACCCATTTCCGCCTTGGGAGTAGGCCATGGTGCGTCGCTTGGGTTGTTTGCATGTAGCACAAGCCCGATCGAGCGGCCCGCTCAGGGTGTGGGGTTTCGGAGTCAACGAACAGCGAGGGACGGCAATTCGAGGGCTGCTCATCAGTGAGTGCCCCAGGCCCCGTGCGCTGGAAGACCGCCCATGAAGATTGGTTGATTGGTGGTAGCAGCATTTGCGGGAGATTTCAGAATGCAGCGCTGCTGTGGGCAGTCGTTTGTACACTCCGCTGAGACATGTTGGAACAAGGATGCCACGCGAGGCTGCCTTTCCCGGCGGAGCAAACGGCACAACCAATGCCATGATTCAATGAGTCCCAACAAACGGATTGCAGTGAGATAGATGAGGATAGGCATTCGAGTTGATCTCCGCTCGCTCGTGGATCCACATGTCGACGGCTCTCCTTCCCAATTTGTAGTACACCGTTTAGTGAATTGAGGGAAACCTGCGGGGTTGTGGTCGACTTGGTTGAGTTGAGTCTGTTTGAATGAGTCCTTTAGAAATAGAACAGTGTTGCCAGCTTTGGATTGTACTGTGTGGCAAGCGGGGACTGGAACTTGTCTTTTTTTGTGAATGAATGTCTTTACCATCAGCATCGACTGCGGGCGGCCCAGTGAAAGTAAACCACTCCCAGTGCGGCAACACGGAACTGTGGGAGAACGTGTGATATCAGTTGCATTATTGCATCGATGCATCGACGGCGCTAGCCCACTGGCCGATGAAAAGACGGCAGTACCGTCTTGAAAAATCAACATCCTTGCCCATGTTCGCCCCATTTTCTCTGGGGCCAGTCTGCACACCTTGCGGTGTTTGTGTTTGACGTAACAGCCGGGGGTCACACCCGAAGAAGGAAGATCACACAGGAGTTTTTTTTCAGCAGTGATGTATAAAAGTTCAAAGTTACCAACGTTCCTCCTGTGGAATCTGCCGTTCGTAGTTATTATCGCGAGAATAATGGGTTTTCCGTCTCTTTCCCTGGTGAACGGGTGAAGTCTAAGAGATTATCTACTCACGTGTCCGGTAGCCATTTCCACTCCAAGTTGCGTAGATGGGTTACCTTTTCCACTCCAGAGAGAGCATCGAACGCACATTTTGCTCCTACAAGGTATTGATCCATGTCCCGCCCCCAGTGGGCGGCGGTGCCCAAATCGCAAGGCGACAAACAAGTGTGTTGGAATGCTTTCACGTGCAGCTGGAAAACCAGGAAACCTGGTTTTGCCGGGAATGTATACCCTTCCTCTGATAGGAAGGGAAAGCCCACAGCGGGCAAACCGTCTGTGTTTTTACGCTTCCCTGAACCTAACGGACTACATCGATATCTCCCGCGTGGGTAAAAGGGTCTACAAGACAGTTTGGTAATATCTTGTTTTTCTAACTTCCACATGTTTGCGGGGAAAGAAGACGCGTAGAAGGAAGGTATTGTGAGGCATCAGGTTGCTGGTATGGACGAGTGTTCTCATAGTCGTGCATGCCGTAGTCGTTAGACCATTGACCTCGCATCCCTTCAAAGCCGGGACGGAGCACGCCGGGTTCGCACCCGACCAGGCTCTCACATCACCAAGCGCGAAGCGTTGTGAGATATTCGGCGAGTCGCATGACGGGTGCGCCGCATCCTACTTACTGAGGGTGTTCGGCATCTTGTGTGAAAGGTAAACTACGCGAGGTGCAGCAAGCCCGTCCTGGGCGTTACTTGGGGCACTGGGTAGTCGGCCGCGTTAGGCCGAGAGTGAGAGATTGAGAGAGAGGTGGAGAGAGAGTGGGAGAAGGAAACTTGATTGGAGAGAGACGGCGGTAGCGGTGAAAGGAGAGAAGGAAGAAAGAAGTGCGCAACACGCACGCAAGCCTCATCGTTCCAACCGCGGCAAAAGGGTCCCCGTGACTGCACCGATGGTACCCTACAACACACGAAATTCCCAACACGTATCCCCTTGGGATCCTCACGACCAGATACTGCTGCGAGTATACCTAACATCCTCCTGCTCGCAACAGTTTCTCAGTGATGTTCCGCGGTAAAGACGAATCGTTTCTCCCGCGGCGAGGAAAAACTCGAATGAAAAACAGTTTTTGGATACATGTATGTCTAAAACGACGTTTAAAAGCATAAAAAAAGAGAAACAAAAAACAATGTGATCGGATCGCCTTGATTGTTTTTTTTCACCGCGTTGCTGATATCGGCGCCTCCATTTCTCCTCGGCAATCGATTCCGCTTGGCCGATTTAGAGGGGGTAGAGCCACTCAGAAAGTTGATCAGACAAAAACTCGACGTGGGAACCGAGAATCCAAAATCCCAGGAATTTTGAAATTGCTCAGCTACTTTCAGCTTTTGAGCAGCTGAAAGTCCATTGCAAATCAAAACTGGGACATTCCAACAATATATTTGTGATCCCCACCCCAAAATTACCCTCATCCGAAGTCAGGAGAGATTGAATCAACATGTAGAAAGTGTTGCGGGAGGGGGGGGGATATTTCAGTGTAATTCCTAGTAATTCCAGGTTATTATCCCTGCTTTCGCGCATATATATCAGTGCGTAGCTGTATCACGGCCGCATCGATCCTGATCGAAATTCTGACGACGGATTCTTGATGTACAACACAACATTACCCTAACCTGAAAAATTTGTACGATCCGGAGGCGTTTGCAACTTGCTCGGGGGGCCCGCAGACGCGATTTTCACCCAATTTTGGCCACTAATTCATCAATAAGTCATCACCACGACATCCAAATGGGAAAATAATTATATTTTCGTGATCCTCGTGACCTAACGGATGTTGGTACAAATTTTCAGAGGTTGGGAACCATTTCTTGCTGCTCATTGAAAAACTCGTGGAAACTATTCGTCTTTACCGCGGAACACCCCCACTGCAAACTTCCCCAACATCCGATATCTCAACCAAAAGACGTCTTTTCAAGAAAATATGCCATCAAGACTAGTCTAGACTATACCAAAATGTAAGAAAGAAAATCGTTCAAAGAAACATGAATGAATGCTGCATCGCGCGTAATGAATACTTGGCGCGGAAAATGAAAGCAAACCAAGACACAACCCATCAGAATAACAATAAATGTTCATGCCAAATTCATCACAAAATCACGGTGAGACTCGCAAGTGTCCTTCGGCAAGCTCTTGTTGAGAAAATCTGCACGCTGGTATGGCAACGGCACGTGGATCACCGAAACTTCCTTCCTCTCTACCAGTCCCCTGAGAAAATGGTGCCCTACATCAATGTGCTTCGAGTTCGAGTTCGAGATGGGGTTCTGCGCTAGTTGAATTGCCCCCTGGTTGTCCTCGAAGACTGGGATGCACGGCATGCCGACCTGCGGCAACATGAAACGCCGAATTTGCCTCAAAAACAAGATCCCCTTCACTACGTCACCAAGCGCGACGCACTCTGCTTCTGTCGTCGAAAGCGTAGCAACACTTCTGTGTTCTGAAAACCAAGATACGGCGCCTCCTCCACACGTGACGATCCTGGACGATCCCCCCTGATACCGACCTACGGTCTGCTGCCTTGCTTGCAAAGTTCGCATCAGCGTACCCCTGAAAACTGAAACCCTCTAGTCTACTGTACCTCTCTGAAACGAAATACCGAAGTAGCTCGTCCTCCTCGCATACCCTAAAATATCCATCGCTGCATTCCAGTGTACCAGCTTCGGAGATGCGCAATACCTAGCTACTGCCCTTACCGTTCGCATTATTTGGCCTAGTCTTAGTCGCCAGCCACATCAAAGATCCGACTAGTTCACGAAACGGAAGGTCTGTCGCCATCTCATCCGCATCAATATCAGACAGCCTCACCCCCGAAGACATCGGGACGCTCTGACCTCCCACTACTCCATACTCTGCTGCTAGCTCATCCGTGAGAGTCTGCTGAGAAATCGTCAACCTACCGGTCTCCTTGTTCCTCTCGTAAAAGCACCCAGAATACCATCTCAACTCTCCCAGGTTCTTCACTGGCACGGACTTGATAAGGTCGGCGCCAAACTTGTCACATTTCTCCCTCTCTCCCACAGCAAAAATGTCATCTACATGTACTATCAAAATCAAAACAACACATCCATCTTCAATGAATCGAAACACACAAGCATCGGCCATGCACTGCTCAAAACCTAACTCCACCAAACACCGCTTCAGCATTGCATGCCACTGCCTTGATGCCTGTCTCAAGCCATACAGAATCTTGCCTAGTTTTACAGTCATTCCAGAAAGAGCTCCACATCCCTGCGGCAAACGCATGTACACGTCTTCCTCCAACTCCGAACGCACAAAAGCTTGCTCAACATCGAAATGACACAAGTCGAGGTTCAACTCGCACGCCAAAGCAGCCAACATCCTAACACATGAAACAGAAACGGTAGGCGCGTACAACTCTCCA